GTCAGTTGTGGCGGCGTCAATAGGTGACAAGAGTGACGTAGGAGAAGAGGTATGGCGGAGGGAGCGTGAGAGAGGTGATCAGGAGGAATAAGAAGAGAAGAGAGAGGACAGGAGATAAGATTCAGAGGATGGAAAAAGCTTTCAGCCATGCGTGCGTCTAATGTCCAATGTTTGCATGCGATTTCGTTTGTCGCCAGTCCCTAACAAACAGCCTCATGCGGAGCGGAATGGCGTCCATCTCATTTTCCCCGTCTGCTCAAGACGAGTCGAGTCGTCCAGACAGGTAGGTCCTGACCGGCCTACCCAACCTCTAGGCGGCCCCGTCCACAACAACCTTGCCGTCGCCGGTAATCAATTGAGGCTATTCACCAAAGGGGACACGCAGACGGTGATTGAAGGGAAGCGCGGTGGTGGAAATGTGCACCAAGGACCAAGTACCAAGGTACTGATCCAAGGCGGGTCCCTCTTAAGGTCGCAGAGGTAACGGATACATACACAACAATACCCGATGATACCAAGGACCAAGTAGATATACCTCTATGTGTGGCCCCCATAGCGGAGGGTCGCGCGCTAGCCCCTTGGAGGCAGGAGGCAGGCGGACGCGACGCGTCACAACGCGCAATGCCAAGGTGCATCGCGTCGCGTCTCCTGAGCTACCCACACCCGCATGATGACATGTACCGCGCTTAGAGGCACCTAGGTACCTCTGCCCTTGGTCCTGGCAGTCCGACATGGGGGATCCACGCCCCTCGTCTTGTCACCTTAACCAATTGAAGCTATTCACAACTGCCACCTCGGGGTTGAACACTAGAATTTCCTATCAATTCAAGACCATACATATGGGGTGCACCCGAATTTCCCAGGTCGCTTATTTGCGGAGCCACGAAATTCACCCAAGGCAGAAGTTGCACAAATCGTCGAGCATCACCCCTTCTATTCTAGGATTTGTCGCGACCGGCACATCGTCGTACATGGAGCACTAAAGAAGGCATTTTCGTTGATAACAAACGGGAATCCAACGTGTGAGGGATGAAGAAAGAGATCAAGAGGAAGGGATTCACAACTCTGACGAGGTAAGCCGCCCGCTGAGCAGAAATGCAAACGGATTTTCAATTCACCACACTGACGCTAACCTGCCTACAGTTTCTCTGCCACAAGCCCATTGCGTCCTTCACCCGAAACGGCCAGAAGATCAGCTTCTGTCGACGATGCAAAGGCATCATCATCCGCACGCTGGTTGAATTCAACTTCGATCTGTCGTCGCCCGCGCCCGCTGGCGAAAGCAACACCACTACCACCACCACCACCACCACCACCACTAGCACTACTAGCGTGCAGGACTGGCTCTGGCACCTTTGCGACCTCCGGCTGTACCTGGAGCTTGAACGATTTCGCCTAGGCTTTGAGGAGATGATACGGCATATTAGAAGGGAGCTTAGGAGGGTCGAGAGCGCCGCATCGGCGTTGCAGGAGCACGAAGCAAAGTTGGCGACGGCGACGGCCGACGCTCTCGCGAGCGCCGCGGCCTAGGCACAGAACAATGCGCTTGAGAATCTTATGGGAATGACTAGCATCAGCCAAAGGTAGGCCGAGTTCAGTTGGTTGCTTGGCTTGGGAGATAGTTACAAATCTACTATTCCATCTTCACGAGACAGATACCACGTTTTTCAATCTTGTCTGAATAAGCAAGCCGACGACCGACTTGGGGGTTCCATGTGGATGGTGGACGCGGTCTTGCTGAAGCTGCGACATCTACTTCTCGGGGGTGCCGAGACCGCAAGGACCAGACAGCAATCTGCTAGGGTGGCTTAGACAGGCTGCTGTCTCCGTGAGATTCTGGAGCGATAACTTGACGCTGCCGTCGTGATCTAGAGTGGCCTGCAAGGCGTACACTGCGACATGAGCACGAGCCGGTCTAGGGCCTGTAGTGTAGGCAGGTTCCTATAATCTAGGTAGATAGGGGAAACAAGACGTACTGACATGTTGAGTGACATGTCTCTATACTAGGTACCTGATTTGATGTAGGAGCTAGGTCATGCCAAGATGGGGCACTGTTGAGTCAGAGAGCGACAGGAAGCTTTAGCAGATTTAAGACAAGGCTGCCAAGAGGAGTGAGGCGCAGGCTGAGGCCGGCTAGAGCTTCACGCAGTTGTGCAGGGATAGGATTGGTATTGCATGAGTTGATGGTAGTTGAGTAGCTCGAAGTGGGTGGATAGCGATGTTTGACACATCGTCGGATGGCCACCGAGGTTCTGGGGTTCAGTAGATAGATGTACTGGACCGATGCCGAGGCACTTTGTCTTGGCTTCGGTATCCCCGTGTTGACGCCGATGGGCTGCTTGCTGCTCCCGAACCTCTTATCGCTCTTGGCGAGGGAGGTCCAGCTTTAGCACCTTGGCGCAGATTCATGGTGTTTAGAGACCAGAAAGACCCCGCGAGAGCTCATGACGTCTCATGCGTGGTTCCGACGTAGATGGGCTGCGCCAAGTTACTGCCGTCTCTAGCAAGGCGGTCCTAGCACAACGACGTTATCGTTTTGGTATATATAATTGCACTTAAGGCCAGGGAGGGGTATGCAACAGTAGCTATAAAGGAAATAATAACAGGGGTAAAGGTAGGTGTGCAGTCTTGTATTTCTTATGCGGCCTAGCGTTAGACGTTCTTATTTATATAGGTAAAGCTAGGGAAGTTATAAGGATTATACCTAGCTAGGCTAGAATGTTGTTATAGCCTCTTGTATTCTTACTAGCAGTGCCTTTAGAATATTAGCCTTGGATCAGCTTGTTTAAATAGTAAACAAATAGAAAGGGGCGTTTTTGTTTTACTATATCAGGCGCACCTGTTGTGGTCAGGTGTACTCTACCTGTCTGCCAGCAAGGACTCGACGGTCCCTAATCACATCATGTTGGATGGTTTGATTGGGCAGACGCTAAAAGAAGAAGAAAAAAAAAACCATGCCTTAAAAAGTAAAATCACTTGTAGACTAACTAGTCAGGTTTTGGCGTAGCTTTCAAGGTTAGTGGTGGTGGTGGTGGCTCCCCATTTTCTGACACCCTTGTCAGTAATTGGGTTCCATCCATGCAGCCCAATGCTCGGCCAATTCCTCTAGCGCAGGGAAATGGAGGAAACTGCCGTTTCTGGGATCGAGGGGACCGCTGGCTGTTGGAACGAAAATGAAACGAGACATGGTGTGCTCGTGACTGTGTTGCAATGGAGCCAAAGGCCGCTCAAGGCCATTCATTGCTGCATTTCGCCGAGGTGGTATTATGTGTTGAAGTCTCCGTGCTCTGTACGTGAAATACAGCGTAGTTAGAGCACCCAGCCATGTGCTGCTGGGTGGTGCCAAGTTCCTCTCGTGTTGGTGCTAGCCCAGCCACCTAAGGTCCCGAGGTACATAGGTACGTACAGCCAGAGTGGACGGGACTACCTAGGTAACTGCCGCTTGCTCACCGTTGCCGTAATGGCTCAACCTTGGAGGATGACGCAACGCCGAGGGACCGGGTGCAATGAACCATGGGGTATCGCGGTGACGGCGGAATTTGACACTTGGTCAAGATGGCGACGACCATCTACAAGAAGTGGAAGGGTGTCGTGAGTTGGCTGCGTAGTGCTCGTTCGCCACACCGTCAACAGCTCCTTCCTCCATCTGGTTCCATGAGGCCTGCAGACTCGATGTGCTTGTCGAATCCCGCGGTTTCGGCCTCCTGATGGGGAATCGCGTTATGCCCGCTCTCAATCAGGGAACCTACTCCCTTACCACGCATGCCTATGCTACTTCGCCAGTTGCGGCCCCCTTCTTTCCGCCTCTCCTTGTTTCTGTTGATAACAGACGTATCACTGACCAGAAGAAGTATTTAGTAAAGCTCATCCAATAGGATGGTTCAGGGCAGGGGCACACTTACCTAGGAATCTTGTTGCCCACAGCACCAGAAGACAGATGAGTAAATGAATCATTCTGTCGTAGAGAAGCAACAACATCAAAATAGTGTCAACGTGGTAACATTATTGATATGCAACTAGGGAAATCCTGCTAGCTAGTCAAGGTGAAGTTTAAGGGTGTGGCTCCATAGGCAGCCAGAGGGAACATAGGCGGACCTCGCTGCTGCCAGCACATTAGAGTGCAGTTATTCGGACCTACGTAGCTAACTACCTAGGTAGCTGTCTCAAGCACCTACCTAGGTGCCTTCCGCGCCCTTGGGCTCACCAGAGATTAATCAAGAGCAACTATGTGTAGATATACTTCGTACGTCAAACACAGTGATTACAGTTAGGTAGGCGGTACTTGTTCAGCAGCCCCAGAGGGAGCATGTAAGGGAGCCCAGAGCCCACAAGGGAGCCCAAAATTTAGCTCCCACAAACATGCTTGACCTAAGGCACCTACCCTAGGTACCCACGCCCCGTCCACGCCCAGTTATCTGCATCACTAAAACTCACCACCTAAAGTAGGTTTACTACGTAAGTCTACTTTAGAGGCTACATGCCCACCATGTACTTTAAGTTATATATTTGTTTGTTAATTATTACCTAGCTGGCCGCTTCTATTACACAATGCATGCGTTTCTTAAGCTGCTTGCCGTCCACTGTTCTGGTCCAAGGGCTCTCCATGCCTTCATTATTATGTCAGGCTTTCATCTCCAGTGCGGCTAAAGCCGCCAACAGAACCCCGTCTCTGTTTCCTAGCAACTAGGCCGACCACGTACAGTGAATTCGATCTTAGAGAAGCTACTATCAATAACAGCAAATCCAGCCGTCAACAGTGGCTCACAGAGACTTAGCTGCCAAGAACCAGGTCAAGTCTAGCGGCCATGGTGCCATAGGAACAACTAGATTACTAAACAATAGGATAGACAGGATTACATCACAAGCTAGGCAGAACGGCAGTTCGCAACAGAAGCGGGATCCAGAGGAGGAATTAACATCGTAACTGTTAGCACAATTATCTCAGGGTTGTGTTCAAGACTAGGGTATCCCCATTATTATTACACGTATACCATATTAACAGGCGAGATAGTTGGTGATTAATTGAGGTGAACTGCCGAGAAGAACCAATCCTCTAATAAAAAGCGAAACCAAGCCGTGTTTTCAACTTCATTCCGGCCAAGGCGACTAGTCCCTGATGTTACACAGGTGCATATACGGAGTATTATAACACAGTGAGGAAAACGTATACCCATCACCTCCTACGCAGACAGCGTGGCAAAAGTCGTTGGCGGTTGCGGGACACGCTTGTCCAGAATCCGCAGGTGTCCCCTCCGCCACAGGCTGTCCATTTGTTTCCTCCGGCGCACCGCTGGGCTTCGCATCAATTGTTCGTTCAACGTCGGCACGTCTGTCGAAGCTGTCGCCTAGCTTCTTCTCCTTGATGTCGCTCATACGTTCGCGTCAAGGCATCTTCTCAAAGGCAATGTTCATGGAGCCATTTCCTACATTCCTCGTCCGAGCATCCGATCAAGGTCTTGGTGGGTGAAAGGTGCCTGAAAAAGGGGAAAGAAGGAAAAAATTAATATGATGCAGCAGCTGGCAGTTCTCCAAGCGCGTCACCGGGCGTCTTGGAGGGCAGCAGGGCTGGTTGGCAGTCAGGCTGTTTGTTGTTTGACGTGGCGAAAAAGTGCATTGCAAGATGTGAAGTCCAGGCGGCAAAGTCGGCAGCGATATGAGCTATTGAGTTGTTTTTAGTTGAGACGTGGCGAAAAGATACTGGCGGTGGTGGTTTTGGTGGTGGCGAAGAAGTGAAGAGAGGGAGGGGCACTGTCGACAGATACCCTTGGTGACGGCCCCGGCCGTGGCAATGACGGGTGATGGATCGTCGTCTGGAATGACCGGTCGGTTAGCAAAGAGCTCTGCGGGTTTGGTGTATGGAGTCAGAAGTCGAGGAAATAGTTACCTTGATCGGTGCTTCTTGAAAGCTGTAAATAACTCCAAAAGAAGAAGTTACGTGATGCATCACGCGACTTTCTTATAGGATGCGGACCGAAGTGGCTTCTGTTGCTAGGCGCCATTTGCACCAGAACTGCTTCGGGGCAAGTCCTTTGTCGGTTGACACGTCGTTGAAGTGGGAAGAAAGAGGATGGTGATGGTGTTGGGGGGAGGTCTCGGTTGATGTCGGGTGCTTGGCCAGGCACACACATGATACGGCTTGCTTGGGTATTCGATCGCTTCGTTATCGGTGATTCGTAGGGCTGCAGGCAGGTCGTGGCGTCCTTGCCTTTCCAATCCGGGTGCAGCCAGTTCTTGCGTAAGGCATCATGCCAGCGCAAACGGCGACTCTCAACTTCAGGATCCCAGTACGTTACCAGGCCCCAGACCTGCTTGAGCGGCTGCACAACGAACTCCGAACGCCGTACGGGCAATACTGGCAACAAAAGACGGCCGAGCTTGCGAACTCCAACGATGATCAGCAGAAGCAGCAGCAGCAGCAGTCAGTCGACCAAGTCCGGAACTTCCTTATCGATCAGAAGCAACAACAGCAACAGCAACAGCAACAGCAGCAGAAGCACGTAGACGATGTATTTACCAACAACAACATGAACACGAACAACATGAACGCTGGAACCCTGCACGCCAGGTACAATAGCAGCAACAACATAAAGAAGGAGGTTTAGGAGCTCTACAGCAAGTTCGCAGCTGAGCTGATGAGCTACTAGAAGCACTATGAGAAATATCGATTGGTAACGCAGGAGGCAGCGGCGTGCCAAGCGGACCTGACTGAGTCGGCGCTCAAGATGATGGAGCCGCAGAACTAGATCGATGTGCGGACAAAGGAACAAGGCAAATGCATGGAATAGACAGTAACGAGTGACTGGCAACGTCAACCACGCGGCCTGTGACAACATGCTGCGAGCGTTTATTTGGTCAAATGGATGCCATGTTAGTCTGGTTCGCCGGTTTTTGCCATGTGTACCAGGAACAGATGGGGTGGTGGTAGTGCAACATGCATTAGGTGTAAATTTGAGAAATCCACATTCCGCTTGTTCTTGCCTCTTTTCCCGCGAGTAGTGAAGAGTGTGTGTGTGTGTGTGGCTGGTGGAGGTACGATGTACATAAACTTGTTCGACATGTCGTTTCTTGTGCATAGCATAACAGCAATTACAAGAGATGACGGTGGCGAGGGCCGCCACCATGGCCACAAGGTCGACGGTTCGGGCTCTGGGCGAAAACATTGTGGAAAGACCAAGTCGTTTTGCGGTTTGTTAGAATGCAATAGAAATGACCGACCAGCTGTCTGAAATTGGGGGGGGGGGGGGGGGGTAATGTAACAACGCCAGCCGTCGTCTATAGAAGACAACCTGCCTCTTCCCAACTTCTTATACAAGCCCATAAAGTTGTTTTGCATCAGTATCAAAATGAGCGCTATTATGGTCTCCGGAAAGAACTTGCGACGACCCGTTTGTTGTTCGGATCGTTGGCCAGTGTCTGAACTGAACCCCGGATGTGTGTTTCTTACCTTGTCGCCCGACAGACAAGGGACAAAAGCGCGCATGTCTCAGCCTCACCCGTCACACAACTCCACTCATGCAGGCTCTTGAGGTCAACATATCAAGCAGCACTATCCGTACACCCCTTCAAAGGCAGATATCCAAAATCCGTCAGCCTCAGTCTCATCGTTTACTTAAGCCGTCTTCCTCACAACTACCTACCACTTGGCGCCCTGCTACATACATATGGTCCTGCATGGCACACTTCAGTTTCCATACGCGCCTCGTGACTGCTGACAGCAGTAAGTCTTTTCATCTGCGAATCCCTCCCCGGTGGTCGGTCAATGCCCCCTGAGCCGAGTAGCTCGAGAGTTATAGCTGACATTGTTCTCCTCTAACATAGGTAGTTGCGAGGAACTGGTCAACGAGCAAAAGCACACAGCTAGACTGCAGGCCATGGATTCGGACGGTAGCTTAAACAAGAAGAGCAGCAACAGCAACAAGAAGAACGGCGACGGGAAGAAGAATATCGACAGTCATCTACGAGCGCGGCAGGTCTGGCGCTTCCGTCAGCACCTCCTCGCGACAAACCCCGAGAGCCCCAAGCTCGCTGTTATAAACGATGTCGACGACGGATACCAATACCTGGCGTTCCTCGGCTGGAAGGAGCCCGCGTTAGCCCCGGACAACGAGCAGTGGCCCAGCGGCTGGAACGATCGTCCCGATACCCTTGGTACGTTCGGCACGTGGATCAAGGTGACGTTCGTCGAATGGCAGCAGAAGTGGGCTGATGAAGCTTTGTCGGCAACCGGGTCTTCGTCTGTGATGAAGGCTGCGCTAGCAGCCGTGGTGCCGGTAGCGTCAGATCCTAACCAGAGTTGTCCGGGCGAGAGTGGTCTGGGCGATGGCGACGAGTATGCTGGGAGCGTGGCAACAACGACTAGCGCCGAGGCTGGGACGGTGGCGCGCTCAATTCTTGGTAGTCAGAGCCAGGAACGAGAAGATGCTGATGACGAGGTGGAAAGGGAGGCGTCGAGAAGGGAGGTGGAAGCAGCGTCATCGTCCCAGCACCACCACGGCATCCAGCGGGCTAAAGACGTACATACCGAATGAAGCTTTAATTACCCTTTCTTCCTCCTCCAAAAGGCTCAACCTGCACAAAAGTTCAAAGTAACAGCGTCCCTTTTAAGTGGCGACTGGTCTCATCTTTCTTAAGCGCGAAACTCAGCTTATAGAGATGTCATAACTGGACCAGGGAGTTAGATGTCTACATCAAACCAACTGACCGTCGGGATAGACAGCTTGGCATGGAACATTGGCTTTTAAACCAAGTCTTAGTAGCGTAAGTATATATAATTCGGTTGCACAACTAGCATGGAAGACAGGGCCGCTGAAGCGTTCTGTGACCCGGCCCCAACGAAACAAGTCAAGAATCTACTAAAAGATATTACATGCTAAGAGAAGGTTGGCTGACAGAGAAGTATATGGCAGTCAGAGACGTCATAATCTAGGCAAGTCAGGTTTAACGTCACCAAGTCTTCCAAGTCTTCCAAGACTTCCTCCTCAATATCCACGTCCTCCTCCTCCATGCCAGCCAGCTCTCAACATCAAGCAAAACCTCCATCGTCTAGACTAGCCGAGTCCCTGATTCATGCCAACCATTTGATAGTGAGCCTAGGAAGTCTCTTCTCTGCGGGCCTCGGAGCACACCATCCACCTCGCCACACTAATGTCCAGAGAGCTAGCGGTTTTGCTGCTGTCAGAAGCTCAGACTTCCTGTTGCCGGTGTCTATCGTATCTGCCACAATATGCGAACTACGTATCTACAGCTTCTTGTTGCCCCAAAAGGAACGACATACACATGCCAGCCGTCTCCAAAAGCATCATCAGCTTTCTCTTATATCTTAAGAAACAGAAACTTGCCCAGCCATAACATCGATTTCAACCACAACGTTTTCTTTTCAAGCAGTGTTCGCTAGCATCAAGTCGTCCTAGCTCGGATCGCATCTCAATCAGGTTGAGCTTGTATGTGGAGCTCTTCTTTGTAGACTTTGTTTAGGGACCACAGCTAGAGGCCTTGGCGTGTTCGAGTATAGAGTTGATATGAACGACCCAGTTGCAATCTCCTCATTCCAGTCCCCAGGCTTCTGGGCCTCAGTGACTGGAATGGTTAGGGGCTCATCCTCAGGCTTGGAGTTCTTGGGGTTGTTAATCCCTTTCATAAGGCTGATGGGTAGAGAATTGAGTGGCCTGAATAGCGTGGGGGAGCTTCTTGCTGCTGCCGCCTTGCCAAGTACCATTGGCTGGGCCTCGATCGCCAGTCGTCCTGGGCCTGTGGCTGTGCCTGAATCACGAACAGCCCGCCACTAAGAGGCACGGATACCCTTCCGGCTGAGTTCGATGGAGGTGTCGGGACGTAGGGGAGAGATTATTTCCCAGAAAACTTGGGACAGTCGTCGACTTTGGTATCAGTTTCGGTGTCGTTTTCTTGAAATGGTGCTGCCATATATCTTCTAGCGATAGCCGTGAGGTACCTTAAAGGTGGCAGAGACTAGAAAAGAAGGTCAGCATAAAAATAATGAAGAAGGCGGCGGAGTTTGAAGAACTGATGGATAATGGGGGTAGGGTCGCGTACGGGCTACATTAGCGTCCTTTAGGCGTCTTTTGTCGTCTTTTGTCCTTGTTACTTGCACTGGAGCGTCGATTTATTCAGTCAAGTTTAAACTCGTGGTGTAGCTGGGATAGATTTGCGGCGGTTTTGTTGCTAGGGAGCTGGTTGGCAAGCTGTTGCTGGATTTGTATGCAGCAGGACTCGAGGACCTTGCCTAAACTTTGTCCCAGGTTGGTGAAGGCAGGCGCAGCAGCCTCCGGAAGCTTTTTATTTACTCTCGTCGAGCACCTCGAGCAGGCTGCTGTCCATCATAGGCTTGAAGTAAGTGGCCTTCTCGTTAGGGCCCTGGATCTTGGCGTCTTACTGCGAGGAGGAGCTGCGCGTTCAGCAGGTAATTTACCAGACGACGGGCTTGTTGTACTCAGAATGAAAAGAGCTAGGGGACGAGCTCCGGGAGATGGGGGGCGACGGCGTTGATGGTCTTCCGAGCTGCTAATGCTACTTTGTTGAATCCACCAACAACGAGGCTTAGAATGTGAGCTTTCTGTCGGGGGTGGTAAGGATGAAGGTGTGAAGAGATATGCTCTCTCCTGGGCAAGCAGGAGCGGCAGCTGTAGTAGGCATTGCGGTGCTATGGTTGGTTTTGCCTGCAAAGAATACACCGCCTGCTCTACCCAAGTACCTATCGGAATCACGTCGAAAGGGTTAGGCGAGTACGAAATAGCCAAATTTTGGCTGAGGCATGGGGCCGGCGACATATGCGAGTACTCTCCCGGTGTGTCGGTAGCGAATGAATGCGACGGCCTATGCTTGGTCGAGTGTGCGCATCTCATTCCCGGGCTACTCGGACAGAGCTTCGGATCCGGCTAGGGTTCTTCTTCTGGGCTTCGCCTTTAGCCAGGCCGACGTCGGGGTAGACTGCGACGTCGCAAGGGTCAGGAAAGACGAAGTTAGAGACAGAGGGGAAGGGATTAATGGCATTGTTACTGTAAGTATATCCAAGAGAGGTCAGCAGCAGCAGCAGCAGCAGCAGCAGCAGCAGCAGTAGCGTCTTTGGCAAATAACCCATCTTCATGCTGCTGCTGCTGCGTCATCTAGGCCACCATCGTCTTTTCCTCTTCCCTTTCCTTGCCCATGTAACGCAAAAATCACGGCCCTTCGTTCATTCCATCCTCCAGTGGCTGCAGCCGCCGCGTCAGTAAGGTAGATAGTACCGTTCTTCACGCTGTTGCAGCATCGTTGCCAATCAGCCCATCGACAAGTGGGATACAAGGCGCTGTGGCGATGTGGCTGTGGCAGATGATGGTGTTGGAGATCCTACTTAAAAGTCCAACCCTCCGCTCGTTTAGTTGGTTATCCAGAAGCCCTGTTCTATATTGGCGACCCCCTCGCGCATGTTCTTTTTCATCTGCTAGCCGTGCTTCTCACCCGGCCCGGTGCTGTCACGGGTAGGCTGCGCGACGCGGCAGGTGTAAAGCGACTTAGTCCCGCGGACTGTCTTGGACGGGGTCGTCCGGTGGCCAACGTCGATCGGAGGGAGGAGTGTAATGGAGGTCGGTGACAGCAACAGCCAGTGTGGCTTCAGCATTTAGCTAGAGATGAAAAAAGGACGCGTCAGTCAGGTTCTGGTGTTTGTCTCGGGGCGTGGCCAAACAAGCTGCTTGCTTAGGTACCTTTGAGGGGGGTGCTAGCGAAGACTTTCCCGCCAATGGCCAATGAAATGTTCGACGAGCCGCAGTGTCGGCACTCTATTCTCCATGTTCGCGGCGAATTCGGTGCTGGTTGGGAACGAAGCTACCAGTCATGTCCGGAGTGAAGTTGACCCCCTTGGCATCCTCCACGGCACGAAATGAGCCTGGTTCCCTTCTGCAAGGAAGGTCCGGTCGTGCAGAGAATACGGATCGGGTTTGGCTCCTTCCTTGACTCTTCTACCCACCCAGCCACATACCTTCCAGGCGGACGCGACCAGAACAGCCGGAATGTTGCATTCTCGACGCTCGACGTTGATCCAAGGCCGCGCCCTCACCATGTCACCCCCACATCCCCTCCTTTGTCTACATAAACAAGCCAAAACCAGATTTACTTGAGACTCGAAGTAAGCCTGCTCTCCAGGTCCGGTTCCTATGATGCCGCAGCGCCAGCCCCTCCAAACTCCACCATGTCCGGTCCTGGGGCGGGCGTGCGAGTTTTTCGCCGTACCCGTCACGGTTGATGTATTTCGTAATCAACGTTTAGCAATGCTTTACTATCTGTCAGCATTGGTTCGAAAGTGATGGATGGCGATGAACTGAGAAATGGTGACAGGAACACAGCACCAGAGTACCAAGTCCAAAGTCTTAGTACAGCAATACGGATGCCCCTCACAGTTTCGCCCTTTTGTATTGTGGCGCGCCTATCAACTCAACCTGCGGCAGTATTAGCTATTGATTGGTTTTTTTCCTCTGCCGCAGCAAGAATTTTGGTTCGACCTAGGTAGTACTTACTGCATAGGTACCTCGGCCCGTGGTGTCTAGCACTTTGGGGCATGCACTTAGGCGGTGCGCTCTCTTATCGCCGCTGTGATGACCTACACATAACACGATAAGACTTCACTTGATCCACCATCACCATTATCGTGCGATACGATGCACTGACCCACAGTGGCCACCACAACGGGAGAAACATCTTGAGGAGACGAGATGGCAGCGGCTGGCAGAAGGAACAAAACGATGTGATGTAGATTTAGAGGCGGAAGGAGCATACCAGGTGATGTAGAAGGAGGATAGACGGATATCTTATCTAACACACAGGTACGTATCTTGCAGGGGGTCCATGCACATGCATGTCATTTATTCCCCATGATTTCTTTTGGCTGCTCTTGTCTAGAGAAAAACAGCACCTGCCTCACCAGCAGCTGTTACAGACATGATGTGTGCAATAGCACCATCACCTCTATAAACACTAATAGATATTAGCAATAATAACTTTAAATCTCTTTTAATTACCTTAATTATTTAATTATACCCCTATAAGTGTCTCTTTGTAAGGCCTTTACACTAGATATTATATTATATTAACCTACTAGGCTATAGCTTTATCTACTATATATTATTACCTTTATTATTATGCCTTTCTCCTCTATTATTACTAAACTATAAGCATAATTCTAGTACTGTTTTTTATACTCTAACTATAACTAATATTAATATCTTATCTCCTAAAGTTATACCTTAGCTTTACTTATCCCTTAATAACTAGTACATTAGGACTTTAGCTTAAGGCTAGTTATTATTTACTAAGGTAGCTGCCTTATTAGCCCTTATATTAAAAGGCCTTATTACCCTTAAGTAAGTAAGGTATATACTTTTATAATTCTATAGACTAGCTAATTAGAATACTAATAGTTAGCTTCTCTATAGTAAATAACTGTTAGAGACAGATAGGCAGGACAAAGGAATAGGGCTAAGCGTAAGCTAAGCATTATATAACACTAGACTAGCAGGGTATACAATATAAGCACATAGAGTATACAACGTAGTTATATACTTAGAGGGTATATACTTAGAGGGTACACAAGAGTAAAGTAAGTATATACACCCTAAGAATACCTAGGGAAAAAAAGGCAAAAGATAAAAAGAAGTAACTTTTAGCTTTAGTAATATTATATACTTACCCTTATATTTATAGTGTGTTTATATATTACCTTAGTTACTTATTAATACTTAATAGTCTAAAAGCTTTACTTAGATAACTAGCCTAGTAAGTAATATACCTATAAATACTTATTATATAACCTAAGAGGTAGCTATACTTAAGTATAGTAGTAGTAGTACTTAAGCTATAACTAACTTAACTAGTTACTTTTTACCTTTTTTACTTATAAAAAAAAGTACTTTAAGGAGCTATAGCTTGTCCTATAGACTTACTATATTAGTAAAAGAAGAGTAATAACTAAAGGAAAAGCTTAAGGTTACCTATAAGGAGACCTAAATTTACTACTAGTATAAAGAACTCTTATAGCTTTAAAGTAGTAGTTATACTTTTAACACTAGAGCTACTTATATAATAAATATAAATAGTAGGCTACTACTCTAAGGCTAAAGTAAGGTTTAAGATAGCCTAGTAATTTTCCTAAGTACTAAACTAAATAATAGTTTATACCTATATTAACCTTTGTTTTTCTTTATACTATTATATAATAAAAAATTATATAAAGACCTCTAGGTTTTTTTATTTAACTACTATATATACTTTATACTATAGTTAAAGTAGATTTATAATAACTATAATAAGATAGTGTTTATAATAAGCTACCTTTAAGGCTATATAAAGAGAGTATAAATAAGGTATTTAACTAAAGAAGGCTATAACTTAATAAAGTAAGTAATTAAAACATAAGGAGCTTTTAAAGACTTCTTATATAACTAGATTTTAGACCTAGGTAGCTATATAGTTATAGTAACCTTATAGCTAGACTACCTTTACTAAAGACCTAACTAAAGCCTTAACTAGTTCCTTATAGAATATAAAGCACTAGAGATAAAGCTACTTTATACTATCCTAGAGGAGTAGTATATTTTTTCTCTTTTAACTAAGCTATAACTAAGCACTTAATAAGCTATTAGCTTATAGCTAGTACTCCTAAAGATATATATAAAGTTAGTTTTACTAGTAAAGTATATAAAGTAAGCTATTAACCTTTAATATTACCTATAATATAACTAGTATAATACTTACTTTACTTAAGTAATACTAAAGTAGTACTAGAGAATTAACCTTATTAATATACCTAGTGTTAATAATATAAGTAAGTAGATAAGTAGTAAGGTATACTATAACTATAATAAGTTAAAGTATATTATAAAGAACTATTTATAAGTAAAAAAGCTATAAGGTATATACTATACCTATAGAGTATAAGGCTATTATATAAATAAATACCTAAAGGTAAAGTATAAAAAATATAAAAAAAAAAGTATATATAGTATAATTACTATAAAGAAGTAAATAATATAAATAGTATACTAGTAGTAGTAACAAAGGAAAGCTAGTAATAAGGACACTATATTAAGATCTTACTTATAATATAAAAGAGCACTATATAGGTAGTAATAAAGGCACTTATTAACTTAGGATTAAAAGCTAATATAGTAAGCCTAAGTATACTTAATACTAACTATTTACTATAGTTATACTTATTTATACCTTTAGTTAATATAGATAATAAGCCTCTCTTAATAATAAAAGTATACTACCTTTATATTAAGGCTACTAATAGTATAAAACTAGTAAAGTATTAACTATACTACTTTATTATAGTAGATCTATAGTAATTAACACTTATCTTAGGTATTAAGTAGTTATAAAAGGTAAATCTAGTAGTTAACTAGTAAGTAAAGTACTAGTAATACTCTTATTATAAGTAAAATATTAGCCTTATTATATTAAAAAAGAAATTCTATATATTATAAGCTATAGTAATAGTACTAATACTATATATTACCTCTATAGTGCCTATATAGGAAGAAAGTAATAAGTTAAAGTAGTATAAGTAAATAGCTAAGTATATAGACTTTAAGGAGCTTTTCTTAGAAGATAAAGCACTTAGTCTACTAGAACACTCTATATATAAGCACTATATTAACCTTAAAAAAAGTACTAAAGTACTATAGGGACCTATCTATACACTATTAAAAAGAGAGCTTAAAGTACTTTATAAATATCTTAAGAAGGCTAAGGCTTAGGGCTAGATTTAGCTATCTATAAGCTTAAGAGAGGTACTTATCCTTTTTATCTTAAAGAAAAGGGAGAAGCTATAACTTTATATTAACTACTATACACTTAATAAGGTAATATAAAAGGACTAAATACTACTAATGTACTTATATAGTAAGTTATAGATTATAGTAAGTTATATATATCCTCTGCTTTTTTACCTCTTTAACCTTTATATTTACTTTTCTCTATATATAACTATAAACTCTTCTTCTAAAGAAAGCTAAATTATCCTTGCCCTCTAAGCTATCTAAAAAGACCTAAAAATATTTATATAAAAAGTAGCTATTACCTTTAAGGTCCCTAAATTAACTTTCTATAACTAATGCATAGGATATATTATATAAGATAAAATATATCTAAAATTAAAGAAGATAATAAAAGTAAAAGAAAAGGTAATTCTTAAGAAGGTTATTAACTTAATTAATTAAGGGTTTCCTTTATAATAAGAAGATATATAAGAAATAGTTAATCTCCTCCTAGATTTATATAATATAATATATATTAGACCTTAATAGGTAAAGAACTTTATATAATAATAACCTTAATTAAAAATATAATTTTAATATTAAATTAACTATTAGAGGGCTTTAGCTAAAGATTCTATAATTATATAAGGCTAGTTTATACTTATATAAAATATAATTATAAAGTATAAGATATAGAATTATAATATTTATAATTTTAATAAGACTAGGTTCTTAATAAAAATACTATTATATATAAAGGTTATTATAACCTCTAACTATAAGAGAAGGCCTTATATAAAGTAGCCTAGTAATTAAGAATAGGTTTTTATTATTTAAGGTATATATATAAATAGCTAGGTAATACCTTTATATATTATTATAAAAAGTAAATATTACTTTTTTTACTAGTATACTAATAGCTAATTTTTAGTTAACTAGTATATTTACTTAAGTAAAAATAAATAAATAATAAATAAAATTAGCCTAGATTAGTTAAATTATTTTAACTAGTATATAAAGTCTTATATAAAGAGTACTTATTAACTCTTAATCCTTAATAGCTATAATAGCTATAAATTAACTAAATTTAATAATTTTTATAAAAAATAAAATATTATTACTTTATATATACCTCCTTATTTATTATATAAGCTTTAGCCTCTTAATATAGGTTATTTTAGCCTATTAAAGTACTTATATAGTAAAAAAATTAAAAAAATAATATAAATATAGATTTTATATATTATAAAGGTTAACTTTTGTTTTACTTTTAAAGTAGTATTTTTTACTTTAATAAAGAAAAAAAATATATAAGCTAGCTTTATATAGGCTAACTTTATACCTTTTAACCCTAAAGTAGTTATTTTTTACTTAGATTTTAAGCTAAATATACTAATATTTACTAGCTTATATCTAAGTAGCTTAGGCTTATAAGACCTAAAGACACTAACTATAGTACTAAAGGGTATATAAAGTACTAGTTTACTTAAAAAAAGAATCTAAGGTTATTAAGGTAGCTTTTTAATACTAATATATAAAGTTATTAACTTTTAAGCTAAAAGTATTAGTAAGTTAGCCTATAGGCTTACTATTATAAAGGCTAAGAACTACTAGCTTTATATAGGGATAAAAGTACTAAGTAAGCGTTAGAAAGCTAAAAAGGCCTAACTATATCTTAGAGGATTACTTAATCTAGTAAAGGCAAAGGTACTATAAGGAGAAAAGGAAAGTATTAAAGCTAGAGGTAAAAAAATATTCTAAATAGAGGCTTATATAGAGAGTAATAAACTATATACCTAATAATATAGTAATTATAGAAAAACTAGATATAATATATAAACCTATAAGGTAGTTTAGGATAGTAATAAAGAAGATAATAATAAGTAATTTTAATTAATTTTATATATTATAGCTTAATTAACTTATAAAAAAGGTAAAAAAGTAAAAAGAAGTATATAACTTACTATAATCTATAACTTACTATATAAGTATATTACTACTAATAAGTAAAATCCTTAACTAGTTATTTAGTACTAAGATCTTATTAAAAGTAAGGGCTTTCTTAAGTGCCTATTTACTTCTATATCTTATATTTTCTTTATTATAAGAAATTATATATATAAGATATATATATATATATAATCTACTAATTTAGTAGATTAATATATATACTAATTATATAAGTAGGATATTATATAATTAGGTTAAGATACTAGAAGATTCTAAAGAGGAGTAAGATTAGCTTTACTACTTTTCTCTCTAACTATCTAGGTTATTACTATTAAGTTAAGGTTATTATCTTATGTATCTACTAGGTTAATTTATAAGCAGCTTACGTAAGTATAGAATATTCTAGTAAGCTAGGCAAGTCTATATAAGGACTAGAATTCTTTCTATATCTAGGTCCTTTTATTCTCTCTCTAAGCAAGTAAAACAGTTAGTAAAACAATAATAAAACTAACTATTATACTCTCTTTACTTTATATATCCTTATATCTTATTATCTTTACCCCTGTTATCCTATATTCTTGCTTCTATAAGATAATATCTTTATATAAGAGATATACTCTTTTATATTCTCTTAAGCTAGAATTCTCTATCTAAGAGACTAGCTTACCTATTATACTAATAGATCTACACTAAGCTTAATATTAAGAATATATACTATTAAATATATATATATATATAAGTAATAAGTAAAAGATAGCCTTTTATACCTAATATAGCTACTTTAAGTATTATATTATACCTTTTAGCCTAGTTAATATACTAGTAATATTCTAATTATATATTAATAAGGCCTTAGTAGGCCTAGTAGATATAGTATATATTATATATTTAGATAATATTATAATCTATAGTAGTAACCCTAAGAAGTATAATGTCAGGGGCCTGGCAGGGTTAGAGCTGGTGGGCCCCTATTAGTCAGCCTATGAGGGATAAAACCCTTCTAGCTGGCAATAGTTAAGGGGTTAGATTTGAATGCTGTTACAACACTATACCTACCCTCCGTTAAGTGGCCCTATCGTTGACTTCTTCACTCGGACCAGCTGACCTCTGACACGTTCAAATCTCAACCTATCTATAGGGGCTCCGACCGTTGAAGCAACGAGATGGCTAAGCGATAGGCTACTGCGATGAGATACGATAGGCTTTAATGGGCTGCCGCTGGGCTGCCGCTGGGCTGCCTTGATGGGCTGCGATGGGCTGCCGCGATGGGCTGCTGGGCTGCCGCGATGGGCTGCGATGGGCTGCCGCGATGGGCTACGATGGGCTGCCGCGATGGGCTGCGATGGGCTGCCGCTGGGCTGCTGCTGGGCCGCCGCTGGGCTGCCGCTGGGCCACCGCTGGGCTGCCGCGATGGGCTGCGATGGGCTGCCGCTGGGCCACCGCTGGGCTGCCGCGATGGGCTGCGATGGGCTGCCGCTGGGCCACCGCTGGGCTGCCGCGATGGGCTGCGATGGGCTGCCGCGATGGGCTGCGATGGGCTGCCGCGATGGGCTACGATGGGCTGCCGCGATGGGCTGCGATGGGCTGCCGCTGGGCCACCGCTGGGCTGCCGCGATGGGCTGCGATGGGCTGCCGCTGGGCCACCGCTGGGCTGCCGCGATGGGCTGCGATGGGCTGCCGCGATGGGCTGCGATGGGCTGCCGCGATGGGCTACGATGGGCTGCCGCGATGGGCTGCGATGGGCTGCCGCTGGGCCACCGCTGGGCTGCCGCAATAGGCTGCGATGGGCTGCCGCTAGGCCACCGCTAGGCTGCCGCGATGGGCTGCGATGGGCTGCCGCGATGGGCTGCGATGGGCTGCCGCTGGGCCACCGCTGGGCTGCCGCGATGGGCTGCGATGGGCTGCCGCGATGGGCTGCGATGGGCTGCTGCAATGGGCTACCTCTAGGTTGCGAGGCATGCTGGCCCTATTGCTGAAGTCAGTGTCAAGGAGACATAGAGACGTCTAAGTAGGGAGGCCTTACCAGCTGGGCCCTACTAGCAGCAATAGGGGGCCACCAGGGGGGTATACAGCAGGGCTGTACCTGGTGTTGCTTCTAAATGACCTGGATAATGGACCTCTGCCTGGATAATGGACCTCTGGATACTGGACCCCTGGATACTGGACCCCTGGATACTGAATCCCTGGATACTAGACCTTGGGCAGCAAGGCAAGGCAAGGCAAGGCAAGGCAAGGCAAGGCAAGGCAAGGCAAGGCAAGGCAAGGCAAGGCAAGGCAAGGCAAGGCAAGGCAAGGCAAGGCAAGGCATAAGGCAAGGCATAAGGCAAAGCAAGGGGTATATAGAGGAGGAGCTGCTAGGTAGCTAGGTAAAGCAAGGTAAGGCAAGGCAAGGCAAGGCAAGGCAAGGCAAGGCAAGGCAAGGCAAGGCAAGGTAAGGTATAAGGCAAGGCATAAGGCAAGGCATAAGGCAAGGCGAAGGGTATATAGAGGAGGAGCTGCTGGGCAGCTGGGGAGATAGTCCTGTAAACGGCACTACTCTTCCTACTATACGGCGGAGGTTTAATGAGGGTGACGGGGACTAGGTAACAGCAACTAGGGGATAAGGACTGTGAATAGCTTCATTTTTAAAGCCATGAGGGCATGGCTTATAAGGGGGGGAACGTGTCAGGGGCCTGGCAGGGTTGGAGCTGGTGGGCCCCTATTAGTCAGCCCATGAGGGATAAAACCCTTCTAGCTGGCAATAGTTAAGGGGTTAGATTTGAATGCTGTTACAACACTATACCTACCCTCTGTTAAGTGGCCCTATCGTTGACTTCTTTACTTAGACCAGCTGACCTCTGACATATAAGCACTATATATATAGTGTCTTTATAAGGTTAAAGTAGTAAGGGCTTTACTTTAATCTAGGAAAATATAAGTTTTATAAGATAACTATTAGGTTCTTAGGATTTATAGTATTAATAGAGGGTATCTCTATAAAGTAAAGGTATATTAAGGTAGTTACTTAGTAGCTACTACTATATAGCGTTAAAGATATTTAAATATTTCTTAGATTTATAAGGTTCTATAAGTAGTTTATCTAAAACTACTTAAAAATAGTAGTACTTTTAACTAATAAGCTAAAAGAGAACTAAAAAAAAAGCTATATCTAAATCTTATAGTAGTTATAGTGTTTAAGTAACTTATTATAGCCTTTACTAAAGTACTAGTGCTATACTATTTTAATATAGACCTACCTATAGTAATCTACACTAATACCTTTAAATTTACTATTAAGGCTATACTTATATAGTAGTATAAAAAGAAGTAGTATTCTATTACCTTTTAATTATATAAGCTATAAAGAGTAAAGATATACTATAGTACTAGTAATATAAAGCTACTAGTAATTATTAATAGCTTATAAAAGTAATAGTAACATATTAACTATAGTAAAAAAATAGTTATAATATACTTATATAGTAAGTTATAGATTATAGTAAGTTATATATATCTTTTACTTTTCTACCTCTTTAACTTTTACACTTACTTTTCTTTATATATAATTATAAACTCTTCTTCTAAAAAAAGCTAAATTATCTTTGCCCTCTAAGCTATCTAAAAAGACCTAAAAATATCTATATAAAAAGAAGCTATTACCTTTAAGGTCCTTAAATTAACTCTCTATAACTAATATATAAGATATATTATATAAGATAAGATATATCTAAAATTAAAGAAGATAATAAAAGTAAAAGAAGAAGTAATTCTTAAGAGGGTTATTAACTTAATTAATTAAAGGTTTCCTCTATAACAAGAAGATATATAAAAAATAGCTAATCTCTTCCTAGATTTATATAATATAATATATATTAGACCTTAATAAGTAGAGAACTTTATATAATAATAACCTTAATTAAAAATATAATTTTAATATTAAATTAACTATTAGAGGGCTTTAGCTAAAGATCCTATAATTATATAAGGCTAGTTTATACTTATATAAAATATAATTATAAAGTATAAGATATAAGATTATAATATTTATAATTTTAATAAAACTAGGTTCTTAATAAGAATACTATTATATATAAAGGTTATTATAACCTTTAATTATAAGGGAAGGCCTTATATAAAGTAGCCTAGTAATTAAGAATAGGTTTTTATTATTTAAGGTATATATATAAATAGCTAGGTAATACCTTTATATATTATTATAAAAAGTAAATATTACTTTTTTTACTAGTATACTAATAGTTAATTCTTAGCTAACTAGTGTATTTACTTAAGTAAAAATAAATAAATAATAAATAAGATTAGCCTAGATTAGTTAAATTATTTTAACTAGTATATAAAGTCTTATATAAAAAGTACTTATTAACTTCTAATTCTTAATAGCTATAATAGCTATAAATTAACTAAATTTAATAGTTTCTATAAAAAATAAAATATTATTACTTTATATATACTTCCTTATTTATTATATAAGCTTTAGCCTCTTAATATAAGTTATTTTAGCTTATTAAAGTACTTATATAGTAAAGAAATTAAGAAAATAATATAAATATAGATTTTATATATTATAAAAGTTAACTTCTTTTTTATTTTTAAAGTAGTATTTTTTACTTTAATAAGGAAAAGAAATATATAAGCTAGCTTTAGGTAGGCTAGCCTTATACCTTTTAACCTTAAAGTAGTTATTTTTTACCTAGATTTTAAGCTAAATATACTAACACCTACTAGCTTATATCTAAGTAGCTTAGGCTTATAAGACCTAAAGACACTAACTATAGCACTAGAGAGTATATAAAGTACTAGTTTACTTAAAAAAAGAATCTAAGGTTATTAAGGTAGCTTTTTAATACTAATATATAAAGTTATTAACCTTTAAACTAAAGATATTAGTAAGTTAGCCTATAGGCTTATTATTATAAAGGCTAAAAACTACTAGCTTTATATAAGGATAAAGGTACTAAGTAAGCGTTAAAGGGCTAAAAAGGTCTAACTATATCTTAGAAGGTTACTTAATATAGCTAAAGTAGAGGCACTATAAAGAGAAAAAGAAGGTCTTAAAGCTAGAGGTAAAAGAATATCCTAAAAGGAGGCTTATATAGAGAGTAGTAAACTATATATATAATAATATAGTAATTATAGAAAAACTAAATATAATATATAAACCTATAAGGTAGTTTAAGATAATAATAAAGAAGATAATAATAAGTAATTTTAATTAATTTTATATATTATAGCTTAATTAACTTATAAAAAAAGTAAAAAAGTAAAAAAAAGTATATAACTTACTATAACTTATAACTTACTATATAAGTATATTAGTATAGACTAATTACTTTAACCTTTAATTCTTAAATATAAAGAAATACTTTAACCTAAGGTAGCTATACTAGCTTAATAACTTAGTAGTATATAATATTAATATTAAGTTTAAACTAGGTATATAAAACCTTATAGATAGACTCTTAAGGAGGCTAGACTATATAGTAAATAATAAGAACTAGCTACTAGATAATAAAGTAGAACTAATATTAGTATAACTATAATAAGTAAAGGTAAATTAAGAACCTCTCTAAGTTATAGTAATAATACTAAGGCTATATAAGAGAGGTATATATATAGAGGGCTAAGAAATAGCAGGGGTAAGCACTTAACCTTAGCCTAACTAGACAAGAGAAATAAACTAAAGGGTATAATAAAAGCTACACTAGAGTAGTAATAAAGTAAAAGGCTAACTACTTAAGCCTATTACTAAGGCTATAAGTTATAAATTATATATCCTATAGAGAAGTAAAAATTAATATAACTTTAAAATAGTAAATAGTAAAGTAAAGCTAATAATTACTATATTACTATAACTTTAATAAAAGGACACTTTTATAAAGAAAAAGTAGTAGTCTAAGAGGTAAAAGTAAAGTAACTAAGCTAGGCCTATAAGAAAAAAAGGCAGTAAAGAAGTCTAGTATATTAACGCAAGAGGTCTTCTTTATAAAGGAATATAAGTCTATATACCCTAAAAAAAAGGTATAAGGAAGAGAATCCTAGAAGACTACTATAATATAGAGTATATAGGATATCTAGGCATTAGCTAAATAATATAGCTACTATAAAGAAGCTACTACTAAAATAAGTTATAGAAAAATATTAAAGAATATATTAATATATATATAGTATATTAGAGAATAAAGCTATAGTATTATTACTTTTATAGCTACCTTACTTTACTATTAACACTAAAACACTTATATACTAAGATATTAATAGACTTTATTATAAGGCTTTTACTATTAATATTACTACTTAAAAAAAGCCTTATAATATTATCTTTATTATAGTTAATTAGTATACTAAATATAGTATCTATATTACTATAAACTTATATTTTATTATAAGTAGCCTAGCTAATCTACTGTTTATAAAGGTATTTATAACTTTTAAGATACCTAAGGGGATTATCTTTAACTAAGGTACACTATTTATAAGTAAGTTCTAGGTATACCTCTACTACCTCCTAAAGGTAAAGTATTACTTAAGTACTATATTTTACTTATAGATAGATAAGTAGACTAAAAGATAGAACTAGAACCCTAAGTACTACTTTTATTACTTCTATATAAAAGACTAAGTAAATTAAGTATAGTAACTTTACTTAGCTTAATTTATATATAATAATATATTAGAAAGATATAGAGTAAAAGGGACCTAAGTAGTATAGTAATCTAGAGAAAAACACTAATAACCTCTAAGGTAACATAAGATACTCCCTTAATTAGTCTTAGGCTTACCTTAATTAGAGTATTAAATCCTTTAGATTAGAG